CAGTTGTAACAGATACCATATGGTCCAGCCTGATGACTGTCTGACTCATGCTAGCCCTAAGGTCAGCTCCAGACTCACATATAGAGCCGTACTTCCCTCTCCCGTCCTCCCTCTGCTGCCATGTTCAAATTCCTGGTATATCCTAGACTCCGACAGGCTGTCTGTATGTCTGTCCATGTCGTCCCTTCCTATATGACTTTCAATGTTTTTGGCATAAACATCACTCACCCTTCTCTGCCTCCTCGCTATAGCTTGGTTTGGTTGTTTGCTTCCTCACTGGACAGTAAGAATTTCAAGACTGAGAGTGTGTTTTGTTCATCTCTTTCTCTTTAGAACAGCATTTCACAGCCTGAGCGTGGTCGTAGGGTGTTCAGCATCCCTTAGCTTCTGATGCTTGCAAGGGTCAGAGTACCAGATCTTATGTCCCCAGACATCAGCCGGCAATACATAGAGGACAGTTTCCAAAACAGAGGATATCATAAAGAAAAAGATGCCTTTTACTTTCCCATTCCCTGAGTCCTCCCTTCTTTGATGTAGTATTGGGAGGTTGAAGATGTCTACAGTTTGGCTGAGAAGTTCCCAGTTACCACCTCCATATTTGTGGGGTTCGCACTCATACATGTGCCTTCCTGTTTCTCTTTCTCAATTAAGGGTGTGTGTGGATGGGGATGAGCTGGGAGGAGCTTGGGGAGGGGAAATATAATTAGAATATATTATATGAAAAAACTATTTTTAATAAAAAAGTAATTAATCATAAAGGGAGAAGGAGGTTTGGCTGCCTCTTTCTATTCTGGATCCATGTCACCTGTGTAGCAAGAACTATACCGACCACTGCCCTTGAAGGAGTCCCCGTGTGGACTCAGCATAAAGAGGTAGGAACTCCCTTCCGTGAGCACAGAGCCACGCTCTTGGCTCTGGGAAGACAATGTAAGATGGCAGAGTGGATGGCAACAGAATCCTAGCAACCATAGAATAGGCTGCGGTGTTCTCTCGGCGAGGCAGGGAAAGGCTGGTGTCAGCCCATGATCAGAGAGTTTCCTCAGTGGGAAAGGGAAGGCCCTGAGAGCTAGAGGGTGAGGCAGAGGGGCTGATGACAGGTTAGATGAAGATTGAGACCACTCCTGCTGGCCAGGGCTGCGCATACTGGACTGATTTGGGGGCGGGGCAAGGGCCTGCTTGGATACACAGCAGAGGATCTGTGGGGGTTGTGGGGGGTGGGAGAGCCGACTGTCAAGGGAGGTCAGGACCAGACTGGAAGGAAAGTGGCAGAAGAGTGGGAACCAGGGGCAAGCAGATTTTGAGGTGGGAAGCGTAGTCTAACAGCAGGATCGTATAAATGTGGGACCAGAGCAGCTGAGTTAGAACCTGCAAAGCCAATGGGAGGGTCTCCTTCCAATTCCTTAGTTTTCTGGCCTTTGGCCATCTCTGTAAGTTAGAAATGTTTAAAAAATAATAATAATCAGAGTTCAGTCAGTGAGGAGCTTCTACTTTGTGATTTTACAATTAATAGCCAGGCAGCTAATTCTTGAGCAAAAATGTGTATCCATTCGTCTCCTGTGGAACATCTGTGTAAGACTGGGCCCACTGCAGGCTTCTCAGCGGGGACTTGACGGCATGTGATTGTGTTGTAGCCCTCAGCGGTCCTGGCAGGTGTTAAAGAAGTGGATGTTGGTACAAGAATGGAAGAGCATGTACATTATCAGGCCCTGTAAACTCAAAGTCCAGCACATCTGTCAAGTGGACTGTATTTTAATAGGGTTGTACTCCCAGGAATACAAGTTGGTACCAGTCAAAGAGTCTTGAGTTGAAGGGTAGAGGCTTGTCATCAGGGGGAAGAAAGGCTTTATGGAATGCAGGTGAAGGCAGGAAGGGTGGTCAGTACGGAATAATGTGCTTGGGTGATCTCTGGTCTCCCATGTACTGTATCTGACAAAAAATGGTTCTGAAGACATGTGGGATTTGGAGGCTGGGAAGTGGGGGTGTGGGGATGGAGCAGGTTTGGCCCAGTGTGACAGCTATTGGGGTCCTGCGATGAATTTCTAATAGTGTGTTTGTGAGCCCCGTTTGGACGCTGTGGGCGTGTCTGTGCTGTGTGTGCATCCTTGCAGATTCTTGGTGAGCGCTGTAGGAAGCATCTTCACCACCATTCGCTCTTGGCTGATTACTGTCAGAGAACTTGGCTTTGTCATGGTGAACGTCGGGTAACTGTGTCTGGCCAGGGTGGCTACAGCACTGTGATACTTGATCCAATTTGTCCTATGATAAGTTCTCTCTGACTTTATTTCTGACTCAAGGCCTTTCTTGTATTGTTCTCCCCATAGAAAGCAGGGCTAGGATGTGCTTAGTAATTGGAGGCAGCTGCACTTAAGACCCCCTCAGCCAGACTGTTATTTCAGCCTTCCCGAGTAGGGTTCTGCACACCAGTTTGACCTTACTTTGAAACATTCTCAAAATACCATACTTTAATATCAATTTATATACTTTCATATTCAGATCAGGCTCCCGTAGGGGGAAAATTGAAGTTCTGACTTTCACAAATACAGAGCAGAGCTGGACCCCTGATTTTTGTTCTTTAAAGGTATTTAGTAGAAAGGATTTGGATAAAGCTTTCCTCTGGTCAAGGCATGGTGTTTGCAAATGCATGCTAAAGTGTATACCACAAAAAGATACAAAGTGTCCCTGGATTGCTCAAGCAGAGACAGAATCCCCAATGTAAAACATCAAGTCAGACTTCTGTGGGGTTTTCTGTACGTTAAATAATGAATTCCATTAATTATGCCAATTCCATTTTAGACAATTAATAATCAAATCTTGTTTAAAAATAAAAATTAATTCTGGCATTTTTTTAGTGTTCCATGGAGAGTCTCTACTCTTCTGCGTTTTTGGCATTGCCCTCCTCCCACCCTGTCTTGTGTCTTGGCCCCTGGCCATCTCATCTAGTGGAATGTATGAGGCTGAGAAAATTTAGGAGTGTCGATATTCTTGTTTCAGTAGATTGAGGAGCCTGGGGGTGTTCTCGGGACTCCACTTCTCTCTCTGAAGACCTGACAGCCAGCAAGTCCATATAAGGCAAGGGTCTCCCCGTGTCCTGTGAGCTTCCTGGGGTGTCTAGATCTGTGACAGACTCTGTGCTATGAAGACTGGGTTGAGACAGTAAGGCAGACTTGTTTTCCTGTGCTATATATAGGATCAGAGCGAGGGTTAAAAACAAGTCAACCCTCCAGGGATTCTACAGCTTGGGATTGTGGAATTGTCAGTCACCCAGTAAACAGTTGGGCTTTTTTGTTTTGTGTTGGTTTGGTTTTTTTGGTTTTAAAATGTTGGCTCTTTGATCTGTTATTTTTCTGAGGTGTTTGGCTTAATTCTTTTATTTAAAAAAAGGTAAAATGAAATCTCTGAGTTTGAAATCTGATTGTCAGTCCTCTGCAGCTTACAAAGCTCATTTAACACAGGATTTTCTGCCTCTTTATTAAACTATCACCTGTGACTGTTTTAAATAGCTTTTTTTTTCTTGACATTTTCATGTCAGTGTGGCAGTATTTTTGCCAGTTGTTGAGGCAGCAGACTTATTTTCCTAGTAAGTTGATTTACATCAAAGAATTGCTTTGTATGGGCTAATTGAAATCCTGATAGTGGTCAGATTGCAGCCCAGAGTCTTTACAACCCTGACAGTAGCCCCAGTGACAAGGAGCGCCAAACCTGTTTGGCTCGGCACTGTACTTTTTAAAAACATAAAAATATGAAACTGTTTAAATTTTTTCTTCTCTTCCCTTATCAGAAATATTTATTTAGACCATAACAACTGTTAGAACAAGATAGCAGCTCAGGCCAGCTGTCAAGTGTCTACCATTATCAGAACCCTCCCTGGAGGAAGATGCAACTTTGGCTCGCCTCACCGGCAGTAATTTAATTTTTCCTTCATTCTGACTCGGAAATGGCAGCATTTTTCAAAGCTTCCTCCCACTGATGGCCGAAACTTTCCTTGTGAAATGATTTCCACCAGCCTTGCATCTTTCTTGTTTCTGCCGTCCTCACCTTTGCTGATGGCTCTGCAAGTCATCACCAGCTATGCAAACTGACAGTTCACATCCTGGGGCAGCGGCAGGGTCTGGCCTGCAGAAGGGAGCAGCCTGACCAAATTTACGCTCACGAGATCTCTTAATTCACAAAAGCATTTGCTCTAGTTCCTGCTCTCTGCTGCAGGGGCTCTAGAGGGAGGTGGGGGGACTGTTGGGAGGGGCAGAGACTCTCTCTTCACACTCTGCTGAGTACACAGACTTTGGAGATGAAAAGCAGACGGGAGAGGCATCTCCAGCCGTCTCGCTGATCTGTGCAGGAGTTCACTGAACTGTGCAGCGGAGCGCCGGGCCCTTGTGTCATGATGGTACTTTTAAAAACAGTGCTGAAATGTTCAACACTGATATCCCTTCCCTGTAACTGAAGGTTGACCAAGAATGTGAAAATTCAAAAGAAATCATAGCGCTACGTGCTGTGGTGAGAGTGACCAGAATGGTGCTCTCTAGAGTCGTGTTGGTTTTTAACGAGAGTGGTGGACAGGGGAAGTTTTAAGTCTGGCTGAACTTCGTATATATGATTCATAGCGTTTTTTTCTCCCCTCTTGTCTCACTTAATTGATCCTAGCCACTTGTTTACACAAACTACCCACTTTCCTGTCTTCTTCCAGGAGACAGGGTCTCTGTAGGTAGCTCCTTCTGTAGACCAGGCCTGCTTCAAACTCGGAGATCCACCTGCCTCTGCCTCCCGAGTGCCCGGAACCTTCCGATGGAGCTAGCTTTTGTCCGTTTTCCAGGAGCAGAGTTTTTCTCCAGGATAGGCTGACCCCTGTGTGAGCCGCACATAGCTGACTAGGCTGACCCCTGTGTGAGCCGCACGTAGCTGACACAGTCTGGCTCGAGGCTCTGGCTCACTTACTGATACCAGTTTGGGCGTCACAGAACGTTTCTTTTGAATGCTGTTGTTTAAAGTAACCGCTCACTGACCTGCATAGCATAGCACCAGGCGCTCCCAGCATCTCCAGGTGTCCTCTCGGGAGCATTGCCCTCTGTTCCAGGGTGGCTAAGATGGGCTCCTGAATGGGTAGGCTGTCTCTGGGCTTTGATATGGAACTAAAGTTAAGGAAAGAATGAAAGAATCCCAAGACTGGGGAACAGACTTGATTGTAGACGACCCTACACTGTGATTCTGCTATCTCCATCCTCAGCTGCAATAAAAAGATGCCACTGTCTGTAACAGACAGCCAGGTCCCCGTTTTGCACCCTATATAATTGAGAGTGTGTGAGCTGTGACCGAGAAAGACTGTTTCTGAAGGAATGAAGCTGCTTGGTTGGGCTCCTATGACTGGATTTTTCCCCCCAAAGATGTGGGGCAGGAGGCTATGGAGTGGTTTCCCAAGAGGGCATTGGAATGCCCAGAGCTGGAGTTCGAGGCAGCTCTGAGCCACCCAGCATGGGTCCCCCAGAAGAGCAGCAAGCACTCTTAACTCCCGAGCCACCACGTCTCCGGCTGCGCTTCTATCTCTGCAGTGCTAGAGAGTGTCTGCTTTGCAGTGTCTGCCCTCCATGCCACTCACCTGCTTCCTTGTCACACTGGCTGTTTGCTAGTATGAAACATTTTTACGTTCCCAACACAGTTGAGGCTTCGCTCTTGGCCAGGAATGCTGATACCAATACCAATACAGTTATGTACAGATTCCACGAGGAAAGCTATAGAAGCCTTAGTGCTGCGGGCAACTCTTGTATAGAGCTGGGCATGTGGCTCATGTGTTTACCCCCAGGACTCAGGAAGCTTGAGCAGGAGGATTGTTCAGGACCTTGTCCTAGTTTGGGTTATTGCTGGTCCAATAAAATACCATGACCCAAAGCGAGTTGGAAGGAGAGTTTGACTTACACGTCTCTGGTGTAGTCCATCCTGAAGGAAGTCAGGGCAGGAACTGGGAGGCAGGGCTTGATGAAGGAGCCTTAGACGCATGCTACTGGCCTGGTCCTCATGGCTTGCTCATTGCTCAGCCTGCCTTCTAGAATCCAGAACGACCAGCCCAGGGATGGCACCAGCTATCACAGACTCCTCCCCACCCCATCAATCACTGATTAAGAAAACAGCCTACAGGCTTGCCCACAGTCTGATCATATGGAGGCATTGTCTCAAGTGAGGCTCTCTCTTCTCTGATGACTCTAACCTGTGTCAAGTTGACCTGAAACTAGCCAGCACAGACCCTGTCTCCAAAAATGCTGTTTCCAGAATGTGATACATCCTCTGCCTTTTCTCGAATGTGGATTTGACACTGCAGTTCTTGAACCCCCTTTTATTGAGTACTTACTATGTACTGAATGTTATGGGCTAGATGCTGCCTTGAACGTATGTTGACGAGTTTGAGCAGGTTAGGTCCGGCTGAAGTGGCAGAGGCTCCAGCATGCTGCCTGTCTATCCCACAGTGCTGCTGTAGATTTGTAGGCCTTTTTTTTTTTTTTTTTTTTTTTTTTTTGCCAGATCTCCCATTTAACCAAGGGAGACAGGAAATTTATATTTTTATGGATATTGCCTGATTTTTAGAACAGTTCATTTTTTTTTGTTTTGTTTTGTTTTTTGGTGTTTTGAGACAGGGTTTCTCTGTAGCTTTTGGAGCCTGTCCTGGAACTAGCTCTTGTAGACCAGGCTGGCCTTGAACTCACAGAGATCCACCTGTCTCTTCTGGGATTAAAGGCCACCACCGCCCGGCTAAATTCAGTGGTTTTTGTGTTACTTATGCAACTCCAATCTATTCTTCTGGCCTCCTTGCAGGATCAGTAGTACTATGCTTGACTACTCACAGATTAGTAAGGAACGTGGGGAGGAACCCACACTGTTCTGACTCCCTCCAGATTACTGTGCCTCCATCTCTGCTCACGAAGGCTTGCTGAGTTGATGCTCATGCTGTAGCTGTTGTCTGGCCCAGGAGAAGCCCGTAACCAAATTGCCAGATCATATGGTATTGGACCATAGAGTGTCCTCTTTCCAGAAAGCGGTAGGCATAGCTTTGGTGGAACTGATTATAAACAGAAAGGTATTGGCGACTGTAAATATCAAACGAAAGCTCTGTCACTTGTTTCAGATTTATTCCTTCAACCCCATGGTCCTCATAGACACGCGACACAAATACTTTAAATCATTTGCAGGGTTCTTCAGATTTCATAAGGAGTGGCAATTTGCCAGAAGTTCACCTCGCCAGGGAGAGAGGAGGCTTCGGTAGTTCTCAGGCTCTACTAAATATTTAATCACTTTTATTAAAATTCTAAATGCACTCTGTGGCCTGAAGGAGTTAGCACACTTCCACAGGCCTGCCTTCAGCTGGTCAGATCAGGCCCGTGGTTGCTGTTGTCCACAGCTGCACAGACTGGTTACACAGCATAACTTGCGTAGACACACTTGGGCCGCAGGATTACTGGAGAGCTGTGTTGCTTGCCTAGTCGTATATTTTGATCTTTATTGCAAGTAGGTTTTTTTTCTCCTGAGAGTTGGGAGCTTAGCCCTGCTTTCAAGGTAAAAAGTGTATCTGCAAGGGTGAAATGAAAATAGATTTTTAATGGCAACTTCGGTTCTTAGCATTCATTTCACATGCATTTTTCATCCTGAACTTTTGAACAGTTTTGGGAAACACATGAGAGATTTGTGAACAAGGGCAGGAGAGGGTCAAATGTATCAAATCCTTGGATTCCAGCAAGTGTAGGATTTGTGCAAGAGCAAAGAGAGGCACACACATGCCTTGGGAATGTAAATTAAAGTAAGCCCCATTCTGTGGTGGCGAGGAGAAGCGGGTGAACCCTGCGATGGCCCAACGTTTGCGGCGTTTGTCTTCTTAATAAATTAAGCAAATATTAAAATAAACATTCATTTTATCAGCCTGCATTTTTCCTCTGTGGATGAAAGTGTCTCAGGAAAAATCATAAAAGAATCTCTGGTAGCTCAGAGAGGTTAAACTCAACAGTTGTTTTCTTTGAAGTCTCTGGCCACGAGGTTAATTGCCAAAACTGCTTGTGGAAAAGGTGGTAACAATTTAACAAGACTGTACAACTGCAAGGACTTAGATGAATATCAGGTGTTTGCAGATGTTTTTTCTAACAGGAAAGGGGGTGGGGAGGAGAGGCGGAACAGAATGAGAAACAGGGGAAGAGAGGGACCTGAATAAAGTCCCAACTAAACAGCCAATAATTCTTTGTTTGCTTAGGCAATCATCCTGTAATTGGCCAGGAGGTTAATAGGAGTCTATTGATTGGCCAGGAGGATTGCTTACCGTGGCTATTTTTACAGTATGCTCCCAGACAGGAGGCTGCAATTACGGGCGCGCTCATTGCCACTCTTTAGGGCCATTGCTGCTCTGATTTATGAAACCCGATCAGGTTACTGTTGGCAGTTTATGTTTTAAGTGTTGCCTTCTGGGTCTATGCTGCTTATGGGCCAGTGTGCTACTTCGCATCATTTATTGTGGCCATTTGAATAGGTAAGCTTATTTATGACTTACTGCAGTAGGAATACATTAAAAATAATAACCACCACCCAAGTGGACTGGAAATGGGAGCCGTCGGAGACGTGAAGGAGTCCTACTTGCTCTAGGTCACCAGTGCCATCTCCAAAGATGGAGAAAGTCCTCGGTGTGTCTTGTACCCGCCCCAGCAGACATACCCCAGCTCTCTAGTGGATTATTAGACTTCGGTTTCCCTTTGTGTAATTAATAATCATTAGGGTTAGTGGTCAGTATGCTTAGAGTTAAGGAAACTGAGGCCAAGTTCAGAATGGCTCCGACTCATGAGCCTGCCTGGGATCCCATGACAGGCCTCCTCTGTCGTGACCCACCCTGACCTGCTCTTGACCTTAGCATTACTAATAAGGTTCTTACCTCATGATTTCATTTCTCACTCAGTGACCGTGACTATAAATCCTCGTGAGCTCACGGTCTTGGTTCTCCTCCGTTGCGCAAACCTCCTTTTGTAGTTGAGTTCCCCGGGAGCCTGGTGGAAGGGAAGTCTATCTCAGACATGGCCCTTGAGCTAGAGTGCTCTGTGGGGTCACTCCCCGACCATCAGCTTTCCCCTGCACTTCCAATGTGTCAATCAAATGACAGTGGCAACAAAGGCTGCTGTTCCTGCTGTTGCTGCTAGTTTCTCCTGCTGTTTAAATCTTGCACTGCCATTTTTTAAAGAGTAGCCTGGTGGTGGTGCACCCCTTTAATCCCGTGCTCGGGAGGCTGAGGCAGGCGGATCTCTGAGTCCATCTGTTTTACAGGGCAAGTTCTAACTTGTGCACACCTTCTTATGGCCTCTGCAGACCCCCCCCCCCCGTTCAGCACCTGTGCATGTAGCGCTCATGGTCTGGACCACAGGATCTTTTTTTTCCCCTTCAAGACAAGAAATTCTTTCTGTACAAAATGTGGGGAGTAGAGACATACTACAGCAAGGTCAGAGGTTCTCTGTGCCGTAAAGGTGGAGTTACGACAGAAGGCAGACTGTAGAGGGTTCTAAAGCCGGGATGAAGGTGTCACAGCTATCTGCATGTTGACAAGAATGCGCCACGACAGCGTACAGGCATTAGATGACAGTGAGGAGACTGGCAGACCATCCCTTTTAGCTCTGCTAGCCTTGTCCTGGCCTTGGCAGGATCACAGCCTGAGAGGGAGGGAGCACTCTTCCGGTGCACCACATCCTCAGCCTCCGCTGTTCTTCCTGAGAGGGAGGGAGCACATTCTGGTACACTGCATCCTCGGCCTCCCCTGTGCTCTGTTTTATATTCATGAAGACAATAAAGACTGAAGTTGTCTTTCAGAAAGAAGGCAGGAAGCTGGGACCTCCTCAGCTCTGCGGGTCCTTCCACATTATCCTGATTCCCTCCAAAACTGAGGCAAATACCTGCAGCCTCACAAAATGGAGACTTTCTTGTTGTTGTTTTTCTCCTCCTCCTCCTCCTCCTCCTCCTCCTCCTCCTCCTCCTCCTCCTCCTCCTCCTCCTCTTCCTCCTCCTCCTCCTCCAATTTCCAGGTGGAGGTAGATTCCATACATTGCCTGTACTTTGCATTAGAGCCCAGGCATGGTCAGCGGTGTCTTGGTTAGAGTCACTGTCACACAGCAGCACATGCTTACCACTCTTGGCTCCTTCACCCTCAAAGAAACATTAGCAGTTAATTCTCCGTGGAGGAGAGCTCAAACAGAAGCACACTAACTTACAAAGAGACCAAAAACAGTTTTATTGCTTTACAAGCCAGCAGCGAACACAACTAATTATCAACATGACACTTCTAAACTCTCCAAGGGAATTATGACACCAGAAGGTACGCCTTCCTTCGCCCTAAGTGCGATTTCACTGCACTTGGTAGAACTCAAGTTCAGGAGTTAGGGAGGTGCAGCAGCACTGGCTAGAGTTCCAGCTGCTTGGCAGGCCGGGGCAGGAGGAGGGCCTGAGCCCAGGAGGTGGAGCCCAGTCTAGACAACACTACAGGTGGGACATCACACCCTCTGTTTCTGAATAGGGAATCTAGACTGTTTGGCAAGAGCTTTGTGTCCAGCAGAACCCACACCTGAGCAACAAAGCAAGGACCTGGGGAACCTCCTGTCTCTAGCTGAACGTGCAGCAGAAAAACCTACTCAGTCCAGCCTGTGCTAACACTGAGCATTTTAAACAACCTTCCTGGACATGTCTAAGGGCTTAAACCTGTACTCAGGAGGTGGAAACACAGGCACGAGTCCCAGGCCAGCCTGAACTATTAGCAAATCCTTTCTTCTTAAGGGAAACAGTTGCTGCTGAACTGGTTTTGTTGTTGTTGCTTGCTTGGTAATACCACCTGGGCTTCATAGCAGATAATATCTTTCCTAATTCAGTTTTTTAAAGGGTTTGAAGCAAGAAAATTACAAGTTCCAGGCTAACTTAGGCTGCATAGAATAAATAAAATAGCTCTGTATTTCTGTACTGGGGCACAATTTCCTTGAGCTCGTGGCTTCCCAGCCCTGAAAGAACTGCCAGTGTTTGCTCTGTGGCATGGTGTGTATCTTTTACTTACCTTGTGTCTCTGAAACAGGGGACCTTTCCTTCCTGCCACCATGGCCTCCCAGTAGAAGCCCCTCTCTGATCAAGGGAAGAAGGCTTCTCTGCTAAGTAAACCCAGCTCCAGCCCCGCCAGTCTTGGGGGCATCACTACTACCTTTCTTTGTTCCGAGAGCATAGGATAGGCAAGACTACTTTTCTCTGGTTTCTTTGTTTAAGCTTGTTTTTCTTTTCTTTCTTTCTTTTTTTAAAAAAAGCTAAGGGTGGTGGTACATACCTTTAATTAATTAATCCCAGTACTCAGAGGCAGAGGCAGATGGATCTCTGTGAATTTGTGGCCAATTTGATCTACAGAGAGAGTTCCAAGGCACTCAAGGATACACGAAGAAATCCTTGTCTAGAAAAACAAAAAAAGAAGAAAAGCTTTTTTTCTTTTAACTTTTATTTATTACTTATTTGTCTCAGCACATGTGTGGAGATCAGAGAACAGCTTGCAAAAATTGGTTCTCTCCTTCCACCCTGTGGGTTCTGGGGATTGAAGTCAGGTCATCAGGTTGTAAGACTTGGCCACAAGCCCTTTTACCTGCTAAGCCATCTTGCCTGTCCTTCATGCTATTTTAATCATTGCTTTTATTCTGGCCTCAGAAACGGGAGGGGACTCCCTGTCCTTGAGCTATGCTATAGCCCCACCTCCAATCTTGCCAGCTTCACCAATCCCCAGTGTTAGTAACAGCTCTTGGTTACTACATTTAGAGATGGCGGCTTGCTCCTTCTAAAAAGAGTAACCTCTGGTTACCATAATCAAAACTGCAGCCCCAGAAGATCCCTGATGCATTCTCTCCACCACGTACCCTCCGTGTGCACTTCCTCCCCCACCCACCCATTTGCAATGACATTGCTGCCCCTGGCTAGTCATGTGTCTCCCCTCCCCCCCAGCGCAGCCTCCCCAGTGCCGGACTCCCTGGCATCTTGGGCCCTTACAGTCTTTGTTCTGTTATCTTTCCTTTCTTTTTTCCTTGCTTGATTCATTCTCCTGAACATCATGTTCAACTTTATATCAGCTCCTCAGCTTTCGTAATAAACTGTGGCTGATGTGGGGATGTCAACTGTTCTTTTCCTAGTTTGAGCAGAATTGGCTACTATTTTCCAGGGAAATGAGCAACCAGCAATAAAACTGGGCAACCCCAGCTTTCCAAGCCCCCCTAGTCTCCTTTGCGCTGTTGATAAGGGCAGCCCTTTCATCCTCAGAGGAAGCTGAGCCCCCTCCCGGCCACCCTGGTCTCCTCACGTACTTGTCACACAGCCCGTTTGCAGTCTTTCTGTCTTTTGTTTGGTTCTGAGACAATTTGACCTTAGCTGGAAAGCGGAAGGAAGCTCAGACGGAAGGGAGGAGAAGAGAAGAGAAAATGCAGAGGTTGTGAGCTGAGATCGGAACGAATTTAGCATTTGGAAAGCTAACTGATTTTAAAACTTTGCGTGCTGGCTGAAGCACAATACATTCATCTTTGGGAAAGCCCAGGGAGGTTTTTTTTAAACCCATGTCTACAATTTGATTTACAGAGTTCTAGAATAAGCTGCCACCATGGTTTTCATTCGCGTCTGTTGTCTTTTTTCCCCGCCTTTGAGAAGGAGTCACTGTGTAGCCCAGGTTGGCCTTGAAGACCCGAGACAGGGTGCCTACCTGGCTTTCTATTCCCTGCCCCCTGAATGGGTGTCCCAGTACTTGCTTTGTAGTTCAGGCTGGCCTCAAACTCAAAAAGATCCGACTGCCCCTTTGTCTCAAGTGCTGGGATTAAAAATAAATGCCACCACTGCCCATCTTCTTATTCTTAAATTACTGAAGCAAACTACTGAAATATCCATTATTTAACGTGGTCAGGATTTTTAAAAAGTGAATTGTTTCATAAGTGCAGGCACTGGCACTAAATACACTTTCATCCTGGGAGTGTTGATGTTGAGCCATCATTTTGACGTGGTGCACTGGGTTTTCTGCTTATTAATGTTTCTTTTGCTTTGGGTTTTAGCTTGGAAAGACAAAATAATCCATTTCAGAAGAACGCCCTTTGCGTTGTCTTTCCAGCCTCAGAAAGTGATCTATAAACAATGCAGAGGATTTTTTTTTCAGTTTTTTTTTTTTTTCTCCGAGGCAGATTTTCTCTGTAGCTTTGGAGCCTGTCCTAGAACTCACTCTGTAGACCAGGCTGGCCTCGAACTCACAGAGTGTTGGAATTAAAGGCGTGTGCCACTACTTCTTGACTGATACAGAAGATTTTTAATAGGACCTTAAAAAACAGACAAGTCTTTACTTGTCTATATTACTATATATACACTACATTACTATATGATGATGGCATAGGAGGTTTACCTGGAGAGAGAGGGAGAGAGAGAGAGAGAGAGAGAGAGAGAGAGATCGTGTGTCCATGCCAAAGCATGTATTCAACTTTAGCAAAGAATGAAAAATTAATAACAGTCTCGACTTAAAGTTTAGCAAAGGTGCTCAGAGCCCGCTTCGTCACCGCTCAGCTCAGTGCTGTCTCTTGACCTGGAGCAATAAATATCCCCTGGGCTTTGGTGCCACTGTGAAGTATTCTTGCTTCCATTTGATTTATTATTTGATCAAGATAGCATCCGTATTCAGAAATGGATAGTTCACACTTAAATCTGTTTTTCCTCATTAAACCAAGCTTAAGCCACAGGTTAAAGAAGTGGGGGAGGGGGGCTACCGAGAAAGGGTGGTGTTGACTTTGCATCTCACCCGAGATTTGCCACCCAGGGCTGGCTTTTCACATACACCCTGAAGCAAACCTCCCTGGTATTCGTCAACAAGCAGGAGGTAGATACTGGCTCTCGGATAACAGGCATTTGGTGAGCTGGCGACAGTCGTGCAAGCGAGAACGTTCAAATGGCTTCAGCTCTTTCCAGCTTCATTATGTCAGGCTGGCAGATCACATACGGCATTATGGAAATCAGCAAATGAAAACCATATTGATCTGCATTGAGAACAAATGTAAAAAAGGTGGTCTCGGGGAGTCGCGGGGAGGGGAATGCTTTCCTGGTCAACCTGATAGGCCCTTGTTAAGGCCTTTTAATCATTTATTAACTTAACCCTCCTTCTTCCCCTCCACTCGGATTACCTCAGCCACAGAGCATCCTGCACCATTTATCTTTTAATGTTTCCTTTATTTAATTTATTTTTAAGCTCTAACTTATACTCTTAGTTCAGAATCGAGTTTTACTTTTCATGGGGTTGTTTTAAGTGACTTAAATGACTTTTCCCAACAAGCTCACCAGGCATTCAGAGGAGGAGAAGCGTTTGCTGAGCCTCACCTATCAGCAAATCATTGACTTGGTGTGCCCCGCAGCCAAAAACAGGGCTAGAGACAGTCGGCCAGACGCGTTCAAAGTAGAAAAAAAAGAAGAAGAAAGAAAACTGAAGTTGTTACTAAGGCCAGTTCTCTGATTAGAGTTTGGGTCAGTGTTTTTAATTTTAAAGTCTTCTAACCAGGGATCGGAAACTAACCTGGTAAAATGACTTCCTGTCAAGACCTGGAACGACAGTCACCTGGCTTTTGTTTGTTTGTTTTCTTTTTCATTCTGTGGCCCAGGAAAAGGGAGACATCTCTTCTATCATGTTTCTTTGGGGTTAAACTTAGAGAGCAGCGTTTGGTCTGCAGACAGCAAGTAGAGAAATGGAAGCCATGACTCGTGGAGGCCCCCTTCCTGGACCTCCCACCTGTGGTGGCGTCTCTGAGCTTCTCCTTTCCAAGCCCCTCCCACAGCCTCCCTCTAGCTCCCACCTCCCGCTTATTTTACCTTATTTTATGTCCTGGTTCAGCGTTTGCGGAGAAATTGCAGGGGCTGGCTGTGTTTTTCTGAAACTGTGTCTTTTGTAATTGATGAGGGA